GAGGGGGTGTGCAAGGTGGGAGAATGCGTGATGCTTTTCCCTCCCACTCACGCTTTGTCATTAGCACTTGGGTGACTAGGAAGTGTCACTTAACTAAGTAGCCGCAAGAGTAAGGTTCTGTGGAGTAAAGAGAGGCATGCTCTGGTTTGCATTCAAGGACTCCACATCAACCCACGAGCTGCAGGCCTGGTGGGCAGAGATGGCCCTTACGACAAGCAGCCCTTCATGGTGGCCTTCTTCAAAGTGAGTGAGGTCCATGTGCGCACCACCAGGTCAGCCTCTGGTCGGCGCCGCCAGCAGAGTCGCAATCGTTCCACCCAGTCCCAGGACGTGTCTCGGGTGTCCAGNGGCGCCGCCAGCAGAGTCGCAATCGTTCCACCCAGTCCCAGGACGTGTCTCGGGTGTCCAGTGCCTCAGGTAGGTGTGGGTGGAGCCGGTTTCTCCAGGAGGCCGCGTTGGCCTTTGGTTTCAGATGTTGAACAGATTCTGCTGGGCATGTGCAAAGGCCTGTAGGTGTCGTATGGATGGCAGTGTCTGGTCACAGTCATGGGTCATCTAGGTGGGTTCCTGGGGCCTTTAGACCTAACACTTGTTACCCAGAGACTGAGTCTGCAGGATTCAGACTTTAAGGTTGCCTGTGTGTCCAGACAAGCATTTCTCTGTTTGCTTAGATTTTTCCAACTCCCTTTTTCATTCCCATCAAAATCCTGGGAGCACCTGGATTATTTTTTTTCCTAGTTGCATTATGATTGGGGGGCGTTGTGATGTACAAACAAACTTTGTATGTTAGTGCAGTGTGGACTTGTATTTCTCAGAGCTCCTGGCTGGAAGTGATGGGAAGTCAACTCAACCCCCAGGATGGATTTCACTGGCTCACTTAACTGGGAAGTTCAGGAGTTCTAGCCTGAGGCATGGCTGGACCTTTGGGCTCAGATGATATTAGGAATCTCTCTCACTCACTCTTTCTGCTGTCCTTGGTTGGTAGCATTCTCAGAAAGACTGTCTCTCCACGATGGCCAGGAAGGCAACCAGCAGTTCCAGGAGTTTATCACCTCGGCACCCTCAGCAGTAGCTTCGCAGAAAGCTGGGGCATGGAGCTCAGAGGCGTGGTGTGAGTGGTGAGCCCAACCCTGCAGCATACTGCTGGGTGGACACTGCTTGGATTGGCCAGGCCTGAGTTGTGTGCTTAGCCCTGGAGCTAGCAAGTGGGGTCAGCCCCATTCTGCCCAGGAAAGGCAATTTCCAAGGGCAAGAGAGGAAACAGCACCCTCTGCCTGGCTGTCAGTTCAGTCTCTCCAAGGCTATTCCTTTTCAGTTGGTGGCATGGACAGTCATGGAAACACAGAGGAAAGGAGAATTGATGTCCCCTCCTGACAGCTGTCAAATGGAAGGAAATGTTGGATTCAAACCCAGGCATTTCCTACTCTAAAGCCAGTGCTTGCAAGTTCTGGGTTTCCTTTGGCTGCTTAAATAGCCTGGGAGTCGAGCATGAAGTTTAAAGATGCGCAGTGGGATTTGCAGGCAGAGAACTGTTACCCTACAACTTTGGACAAACCTAATCTGTTTCAGCTTCAGTTTACTTGTCTGTAAAGTGGAGCTGGTTCATATCCAGTAGATTTGCTGGGATTCAATGGAAATCATTTGATTTGCTCACAGTAGCACTCAAAGATTAGTTATGTACAATTGTAGGAAGCAGGTTCTCGGAGCTTATATTAGGATCCCTGGGAAGGAGTGAAATACTTCTGGAAGATGTATTAATTCATCCAGGTGATGTTTGTAAATTTCATCTTCCGTGGCGAGAAGAAAACTGCCCAAAGTACCCAGTTTTTCTTTGGGAAGAAGCGTCTCCATTTTAGGTTCTGACTTAATAAACTTCTTCTTTACCAGTGATGTGGATGTGGAATTTGAGGATCCACCACCTAGTGTGATGTGACATTTTGCTTCTTGTCATCATGGTGTTTCTTGGAAGCGGTGCACAGCATGGGTGTTCCTGTGTTTACCATGAGAAACAGTCAGGGCTGCGGTTTTTAAAAGAAGATGAAATGCTTGCTTTCCTTTATTCACTGCAGAGGCAGCCTGTGAATAGTGCTAATAATTTCAGCGTTTCCCTGCGGGCATGATGACCACGCTGCCAGGGTAGGCTTCAGTTCACTAATGAACTGTGCTGTGGTCACTTTGGTTCTGGAACCTCCGACGTGGAGGCATCTCTTGAAATGTTGATTGCTTTTTAAAGTTAAAATTTCTCTTGATTTAGTCAACATCCCCCTACCTAATACACACACCAATTTTTTTTTAATTGAGAAAACATGCTGTCCCTGATTTAGGTTATAGCAGTGTCACCTAATTATTATTTTCCACGTCCCATGTCCCTTTCAACTTATTTTTTTTTCAATCTGATGAATTTAAATTAAGTATGGATATTAAAGTTGACCTAATTTGTAATAAGATGCAAGAATCTCTGGTTTTCCGTGGTCTCCCCATGCCCAACCTCCAAACCCAGTACTTACCGATTTGCTTTGCTCCTTTTGTCTGTACTAAGGCAAAAGGGTTCATGCCAAATCCCTCTGGCCTCACATGCTTACAAGCCCCAAGAAAGGATTACTACAAAGGAGCCTCCCTCCTCCTTACTGTCTTCAAAGACCCTCTCAAGTGATCTGAGAACATGCTCGTGTTTGACTCAGCGAAGTGCTACTTTGTATATTTGGCTCTTTCTTCCTTGTTTATTCTTCCATTAATGGGAGTGGACATGCACAGGAAGATTCTGTTCCAAGAAGGGATTTCCAGGCTGATGGTCACCTGGTCTCTCTCTCTCCCCCTGGGCCCTTGGGGGGGCCAGATGTTGCTGGGCCTTCATGAAACAGGTGGATGTTGCTGAGACAGAAGTGTGGTCTCTGGTGTGACTGCAGGCAGACTTTCCCAGTGGAGTCTGGTGGAGGGTTGAAGGAGGAGATTACTTTGCCTCTGCTGCCCCCTTCTTCCACAGTGTGCTCTCAGCGAGTTGATATCTCTCCAGCGAAACAGTCACCTCCAGAAGCAGCCCACCAGGGATCGTCCTCATCTGGGTAAAGAAGTTCACGTCATTCATCAAGTTGCCTGTCATCAGGGTGAAACATAGCAAGGAAGTCAATGGCTATTTTTGGAACTGAGCTGAGTGTGCCTGAGAAGGCAGGATTAGGCCACAACAAGCGAGAGACAGGCCAAGAGCCCCACCGCCCACCAGAATCTACTCTGACATTTGTACTTGGCGTTCGAGCTGGACCTTGCAAA